ATTTTACATAAATCACAATAAATTAAAATATAAAACAATAAGACACAATTTCAAAATAAAGACTACGAACTAAAAGCTAATTATATTAACAAGACATAATAATTATATAATACAAATGCATATTATATATGTTATATATACAGAATAATTTTATCATGAAATATTAGCTACTATATGTTCACATACGTAAGTAATATATCATGAAAATCTTTTTATAAAAACAAAACACAAAAATGAAAGGAATTATGCAAAATATTATATATCAAAAATTATATTAAAAATAATAGCATAAATATAACGTAAACAAAAAAATCTGACACACTCATATTATTATGTGTTTTATTTTTTGAAATGAATTGATTTAATTGTAGAAGCATATGATGTTATTTCTAATACTGAAAAAATTGAATATAATTATAATGTTAAAAATTTAGGTTAATTTTTATCTTTGTAGAAGAGAAAATTTTGAAATTTTATTTAAGAAATGTTCTTCTATTTTCAAAGTTAAAATTACGTTTAAGTGTACAGAAATGATAATATATGATAAAATTATTATGTATTGTGTTTTTTTTATAAATTTCAAATGATTTATTTTTTCTGCATTTCAGTATATTTGCTCACCAATAATTCCATATTATTATAATAATGAGTTTATGGCACATGTAATCATCTATATATATTGTATAACATTAAGGATGGGAAGAGTAAAAAAAAAAAAAATGTATTTAATTCTAAACCGAGGGTAACCACCATATATTTTATTATTACTAAATAAGCAATAATATATAGGATTAAATATTAAATGACATGCAGAATTTAAAGACATAAATATAAAAAATATATTACCTACCTTTTTCTATATAAAGATAGTATATAAATTATACTTCAAAATTTCAATTTAATTTACATAAATGTACATTATATTTAATAAATTTTTCCATATAGTGCGAAGAATTTTATTTTTTATAATGCATGAATTTATTATTTTTATCATAATGTTATGTGATATCAATTATATTTTATTAGCATATATTGCTTAAATGAATGTACTCAATAACTTCTATAAGTGTTATATTTATATGAGTTCATTACATTCGACTATATTTTAAACAAAACAATGAATGAATAAAAAAATACATATTATATCAGTACAAAATGGAATATAAATATACTAAAATAATTAATATTTACCAAATCTAAAATCTTCAAAATTATAATTTAAACATATATAATATCATATGTAAGGTTGGTTGTATATAAATAGGTACCACAATTAACGTGAAGAAAAAAAAAAAATATAAAAAGTACCACAATTGTGACTTTGTTTGAAATACTTTAATTCATACAAATTAATAATAATATTAATAGCTTTATAAATCCCTCATACTTACAATATGAACAATGTTCATATCTAAATTATATATTATATTATTACTATAGGATAAGGACAAAATAAAATTTAAAGCATACTATTTATAATAGGCTAAGTAATTGTATTTATGATTAAATCTACTTTTATTTTATAACAATATTTGCACTTGTAATTTATCTGATGTATATAAGTTACAATAATATATATTTCAATTTTACTTTAAAAAATATAAATTTTTACATTTATAGAACAATAAATTTTTTTCTGCAGTGTCAATTCTTATTAAAAATATAATACAATAATGTGCGATATTTTCAAATATCCTTGCTATTTATGCTTATCCCATTGAGATAGTGTACACTGAATGTAATGTGTTAAAATCAAATGAAAAATTTTCTCTATTTCTAAAGGGAAGTAAGCGTTGGATATAATATCTTATTATATTCTCCCTATAAATTTTATCATATACAAATTTCTTGATTTTAGAAAGCTACATACGAGAGAAAAATATAGAGATATTGTTGCATATATAAATAACTTATTTAATTTACTGTTATATAAGTAGAAATATTTCTTAAGATATCTGCAAATTTGCTTATAAATATTTTTATATTACATTGTATTTAAGAAAAAACGTAAGAAGTAGAATAATTAAAAGAACAAATACAGTAGAAAAAGAGGATTTCAATGGAGATAGGACATAACAGTAATATTTAGTGGATGGTTCCCATTCGCAGAAGTTTCCTTTTTCATCCTCCTGAGAATTTTTTTTATCTTCCCATAAAACCTTAAAAGTACTATCTAATAATTCGTTCTTACTACATAGTTTGTTTTTTGCTCTGTATTCATTTATTCTTTGATTTAACCATTCTTTGAAAAGATCGCAAATATTTTTATATTGAATGCTATATAATTTTAAATTAGAGTAATTTTCGTATAGCGAACACCCAAGATGAAACAATTCATCATCTTCTCTTTGCAATTTAATTAGCATATCATGGCTTTCATTAATTTCAGTACTTAATTTTGTTTCATCCCATATTTTAAAAAAATTATTTTTACATGTCCCTAGGCAATCATCTGTCTAAAAATTAAAAGAAACGTATGATATTAAATTAATTATTTATTAAATTATTAAATAAATAATTAAATATATTGTTATACATATAAGTATATATCACATTATTATTACCATTATAAAAATAAAGGTTCGTGATATACAAAGAGATATTAATTATAATATAATCGGAAAATATATACTTTTTATATTGTTAATTGTTGTGAATATATTAATATATTATTCTTTGTTTTGTTGTACTACGCAAATGTTTTTGTTCTTCTATATCACAAGACACATAATAATGTAAATCATTTTAATTACTATAATTATTTTATTAGTACAGCATGTATATTTACAATTTTTATTATTCATTAACATATTCACTAAGTATATTATACCTCAATTTTAGTACGATAAGTAATATAAATTATGAAATATAGTTTATGTATTTTTTCTCTTTTTCTATAAATATAATTTTATATTTTTTGATTCTATTTACATTAATTAGAGTTATTACATATATATTGTTATAAACTGTAGTTTTATTATCTTTTCACATTTTATTTTTTAAGCATTGCGACTAATTACTTATTTTTTTA